TGCTAGGGTTGAGGTTCATGAAGTATATCCTGGGTTCCATTGCTAGGGTTGGGGTTCCATGAGTATATCTTGGGTTCCATTGCTAGGGTTGGGGTTCATGAAGTATATCCTGGGTTCCATTGCCAGGGTTGGGGTTCCTGGAGTATATCTTATGGTTCCATTGCTAGAGTTGGGGTTCATGAAGTATATCTTGGGTTCCATTGCTAGGGTTGGGGTTCCAGGAGTATATCTTGGGTTCCATTGCTAGGGTTGGGGTTCATGAAGTATATCCTGGGTTCCATTGCTAGAGTTGGGGTTCCTGGTGTATATCTTGGGTTCCATTGCTAGGGTTGAGGTATATCTTGGGTTCCATTGCTAGGGTTGGGGTTCATGAAGTATATCCTGGGTTCCATTGCTAGGGTTGGGGTTCCAGGAGTATATCTACTAATCTATGGGTTCAACTGCTAGGGTTGGGGTTCATGAAGTTTATCATGGGTTCCATTGCCAGAGTTTGGGTTCCAGAAGTAGATATAAGAATTCTATGGTAATGATTTGGGTTCCTAAAGTAGATTGTAGAGGTATAACGTTTTATACCTCTTGTATTTCTCTAGTATATCTCTAATATATCTCTATATATCTCTGATATATCTCTAATATATCTCAGATATATCTCTAATATATATCTAATATATCTCTAATATATCTCTAATATATCTCTAATATATCTCTAATATATCTCTAATATATCTCTAACATATCTCTAATATATCTATAATATATCTCTAATATATCTCTAATATATCTCTGATATATCTATAATATATCTCTAATATATCTCTGATATCTATAATATATCTCTAATATATCTCTGTACCACCATTGAATATATCCTTTTTGCTCACTATGTATTCTCTGTATGGAATATTACAGTGTGTTCTGTGAATTCTTTGCGAGTTCTTCAAGAATTATTGGATCTTATTGCAGTAAGTAATTGAGCCATAAAATGTAACATTGATCCCCTTTTTACACATTATCTCCCCCCTCCCTCCCTACCCCCCCCCCACAATTTATATTGTGAGTAAAATGTCTGTTGTCTGGCAACAAAGACACCAATAAATAAGAGTGAAGGTTCACATTCTCCAGATACTTTGCTTTATATAAATACAAGCCAATACAAGCCAATACAAGTCTAACCTGGCCAAAAGTATGCAGGCAGCAAAGCTAGTACAGGGTGTCCCAGAATGAATTTTAATCTAATTAATAGTATGAAGCTTCATTTTGGTTTAGGAAAAGTAGGTTTTTGTCTCAACCTTACTTTCGATAGTTCTAATACAAAACAAGAGCTTTTGTGTTGATTGTGGGATTTCTTAAATGCTTTCTTAACCTGGAATTTTTAGGATTCTAGGATTTGGGATTCACCCTGTAAATAGAATAGAAGAAATGACAGGAATATTGTAGAAGTTGACAGGTTTATAATCATTGGATATCTTCTTCCTCATTAATCTTTTGATTCAACATCCGTTCTGATCCTGATTTGGAAACTTGGAAAAATTGAAATTTTCTGTTGTAAGGATAGGAAAAATTAAACCGTAGAATTTAAGTAAAATAATGGATAAGGAAGATGGAGGTGGAGAAGGAATTGATAAGGAACGTGTTGGGGAGAGAAGGAATGAATAATGATGGTGTGGGTGAAGAAGAAATGGATAAGGAAGGTGGGTGGAGAAGAAATCGATAAGGAACGTGTTGGGTAGAGAAGGAATGAATAATGATGGTGTGGGTGAAGAAGGAATAAATAAGGAAGGTGGGTGGAGAAGGAATTGATAAGGAACGTGTTGGGTAGAGAAGGAATGAATAATGATGGTGTGGGTGAAGAAGGAATAAATAAGGAAGGTGGATGGAGAAGGAATGGATAAGGAAGGGGGTTAGAGAAGGAAAGAATAACGATGGTGGGGGTGAAGAAGGAATAGATAAGGAAAGTTGGTAAAGAAGGAATGGATAAGGAAGGTGGGGGTGGAGAGGGAATGGATAGGAAAGGTGGGGGTGGAGAGGGAATGAATAAAGAAGGTGGGGGTGAAGAGGGAATGGATAAAAAAGCGAAATGGTTGGAAACGATGTGAGTAAGTGAAGCGGAAATCAGAACAAAGAAAAAGTAATCCAAATGACCTATTTAAACATTGACTGCATAAAAGTTTAGATTAGAACTAAAAGTAAATAATCGTTGCATGACGAGCAGATCTCAGTGCAAACCTTTTGCATAAATTTTGCACTGAGAAGAAGTTTTATTTACATCCTGCACAACGCAAATCGGAGACCCGTTTTAGATCGCAGATCGACCAGGATCTTGTCGAAAGATTGATCTCTGAATTTTGTTGCCTAATTGGTCTCCGACCAAGAGATTGTTGCATGGTAGATTGGACTCTGATCAGGAACTTGGTCTCCGATCAGGTACTTAATGGTAGATTGGTTTCCGATCTGAAACTTGTTAACTAATGGGTCTCCGCCAGAAACTTTCCAAGTACCGAGTTCAGATTGGTCTCCGATCAGCATTCAACCGTTATAAACTTCTTTAATTGTGGTATAATTAAAAGCACTTTTATGAATTTTGACAACCGTTCATTTATTAATTCTGATTAAAATCATACATTAGTCTTTAATAGAACTGAAAATTGAATTTAGGATGTTTTTATTTTTAGGTCTAAAACCACTTATTATGGTCGGTTGATCCGGTTCTGAATCATGACCAAAAGACAAAGTAGAAGCATATCTCTTGTATAAGAAATTATTGTTATAATGGTCCGGCTCATTATCTTGTGGTTCAGTAAACTGATCTCTACTTTGTAATTAATCTTCCTTCATTATTGTCTTGTGATATTCTCCAGTTTTTAAACGGAATACAAAAATATGAATATGAATAAAAAGCGTAACAATCAATCCGCATATCGTCGCATTCTGATGTTGTATACAGTTGATTTTAAATTTTGTCAATTAGATCTGAAAGAATTTATAGTTTGAAATATCAAAAATCTACGACACCAGATTGTAAAGATATTACTATGTTTAGATTATAATTTGATCATTTCCTTAAACAAAAATAGGTTTTACAAGATTTTTCAGGATTTACCGGGAAATTGTGGAATATTTTTATGTCGAACACTTTTAATTTTGTCTATTTTGTACAATTTTTTTAAATTCAGAATATGACAGTTTTGTGTTGACATTTAGCGGCTGAACTCGATGTTGATAAACTCTAACCTGAAACAGGCTGGGGGTGGCGGAGTTTAACGCTCCCCCCCTTATTTTTCATACTATCGCCATGATTGTTTTTTACTGTTAAGAAAAAGTAATTTAAAAGATTTTATGTTAAAAAAATTTAATGCTGTAATAATGTTGATCCGTGAAAAAAATCTAAAAGCGCATAAAATTTTTGAAAAGCCCTTGAAAAATTGGTGTATTAAAATCTTAATCTAAATATTGGCTAAAAACAAAACAAAAATATTTTTTACATTTTTCCGACCTTTTCTTACATTTTTAAAACCTCCCTAGCACCCAACAATAAAAGTCATCAGTCTAATTTTTTCAATAAACTGGCCTTGAAAAATTGAGCTATGAACATGCATTGCAACCCTATACCTCTACTCTAATACTTCTTTAAAGGCAAAGATTCAAACCCCCCAGCCTTCATAGGGTTACAGATGGCGTGCTTAAATCGAGGAATCCTTAAGTCTTAAATCCGCCAATAACAGCATTTCACCTCTATATTAAATTCAAATATATATTTCAAATATATTTAGACAAATATACTTTTTCTCTCCAATTTTTTCAATATTTCCAGCCTCTCTTTGAAGTTTGTCGTGGCGTGAAGTTTGATAATGTAAATTCATGGATTCGTGGAGTTTTCCGTTAATTCTCGATAAATTCGTTTTCAATATTTATTCATCATTTCAAGTTCCAGGTTTTCTACTCTTGGTTCATGAAAAAGTATTCTATAGTTGCAAAATGTGAGAATATTGGAAAAGTAAAGCAATAAATATGAATTAGAGAAAAACAAAGAAATAAATTTTCCCACGCTGCAGCTAGCTGTAGAACTGGAATATATTTAATTTTTAAACATATTTGCAAAATATTCAGTTCATCGTTATTCAAAATCAGGGATTTGTCTTCCTGCTCATAATATTCAGGGTTTCAGAGATCTTGATATTACGAATTCTCGTAAAATCAAGGTTCCAGACTTCAGTTTATAATATTCAGGGTTCCGTATATTCAGGGTTCCTGAGTTCATAATATTCAGAATGTTCGTATATTCAAGGTTCCAGACTCCAGAGTTTATAATATTCAGGGTTCCGTATATTCAGGGTTCCTGAGTTCATAATATTCAGAATGTTCGTATATTCAAGGTTCCAGACCCCAGAGTTTATAATATTCAGGGTTCTGTATATTCAAGGTTCCTAGGTTCTTAATATTCAAGGTTCCAGACCCCAGAGTTTATAATATTAAGGGTTCTGTATATTCAAGGTTTCAGAGTTCATAATATTCAGGACTCCGCATATTCAAGGTTCCTAAGTTCTTAATATTCAGGGTTCCGTATATTCAAGATTCCTAAGTTCTCAATATTTAGTGTTCCTGAGTTCTTAAAATATTATGGGTTTCTTAGTTCTTAATATTTAGGGTTTCTGAGTTTTCAATACTCAAGGTTCCTGAGTTCTTACTATTTAGGGTTTCTGAGTTCTTAATATACAGGGTTCCTGAGTTCTTAATATTCAAGATTCCTGAGTTCCTAATATTAATGGTTCCTGAGTTCTTAATATTCAAGGTTCCTGAGTTCCTAATATTAATGGTTTCTGAGTTCTTAATATTCATGGTGCCTGAGTTTTCAATATTCAAGGTTCCATAGTTCTTAATATTCAGGGTTCCTGAGTTCTCAATATTTAGGTTTTCTGAGTTCTTAATATACAGGGTTTCTGAGTTCTTAATATTCAGGGTTCCTGAGTTCTTAATATCTATGGTTTCATAGTTCTTACCATTCAGGGTTCCTGAGTTCTCAATATTTGGGGTTCCTGAGTTCTTAATATTCAAGGTTCTTGAGTTCTTAATATTAAAGGTTCCCGAGTTCTTAATATTCAGGGTTCCTGAGTTCTTAATATTTAGGGTTTCTGAGTTCTTAATATTCAGGGTTCCTGAGTTCTTAATATTTAGGGTTTCTGAGTTCTCAATTTTGAGGTTTACTAAGTTCTTGATATTCGAGGTTCCTAGTTCTTGATATTCAGTGTTCCTGAGTTCTTGATATTGAGGGTTCCACAGTTCTTGATATTGAGGGTTCCACAGTTCTTGATATTCAGGGTTCCTAGTTCTTGATATTCAGTGTTCCTGAGTTCTTGATATTGAGGGTTCCACAGTTCTTGATATTCAGGGTTGCTGAGTTCTTGATATTGAGGGTTCCTAGGTTCTTTATATTGAGGGTTCCACAGTTCTTGATATTCAGGGTTCCTGAGTTCTTGATATTGAGGGTTCCTAGGTTCTTGATATTCAGGGTTCCACAGTTCTTGATATTCAGTGTTCCTGAGTTCTTGATATTGGGGGTTCCTAGGTTCTTGATATTGAGGGTTCCACAGTTCTTGATATTCAGTGTTCTTGAGTTTTTGATATTGAGGGTTCCTAGGTTCTTGATATTGAGGGTTCCACAGTTCTTGATATTCAGGGTGCCTGAGTTCTTGATATGCAGGGTTCCTAAGTTCTTGATATTGAGGGTTCCACAGTTCTTGATATTCAGTGTTCCTAAGTTCTCAATATTTAGGGTTCCTGAGTTCTGGAAATTCTAAATCTTTAATTCAGAATTCCGACCTTAGTTCTCAAGTTCTCATGTTTGTTTAAAGAATTGAATCTGTTCTCTAGGAGTCAGGTTTCTTCTGATCATTAATTCAGATCTAATCTTTCCTGACACCCCTGTACACTCCCACTTCCCAGTACTCATCAGGACCCTGAGAACTTTAGGAACCTAAGCTGTCTAGTGAATGAGTATCATTTAAACATTAATCAAAAATAAAGAGAGTAACCGTACAATTTACACGGAACGTATTTTCTGGTTCTACATCGGGAATGGGAACAACACTTTTAGACTTAAGTTATGACTTTAAGTAGTCCAAAGAACATGAGGCACAGCAATTGTCCGATGCAAAAAGGCCCAAATTAATAAGTGATTTAATAAGTTTTTGTAACGACATCAAATAGAATTAATTATTGCTTTAATGTCGTCTTCCTATTCTACAGTTTTCCGGTTATCACTGTATATAAAGTGTAAGGAATTTACAAGTTGAAAAAAATAATTCTGAAAGCTGCAGCGCTCATGGTTCTAGATGATTATTGTTATTCTCCACCACTGCAGAACCCTACTCAGTGTTCATTCTACACTGTATACAGGATGGCCCCAGATTATATCAAAACTGCTAAAAACTGTTTAAAACAACCATAATTTTTAAATTATGATAATATTAAGCAAGCACAAGTCCATACAAAGAAAAATCATGTTTCCAAGAAAAAATAAAGAGATTTGCTTAAATACAGTTAAATTAAGAACTGGTTTTATCATTTTTTTCCGACACCCGGTTCTTACAATCTTTCCATCACATAAATTGTTAAATTTTCCATCGTTAAGAGCAAGGATATATGTTAAGAGTCTGCATATGTGTGTGAGGTCCCATATACTTAAAATATGCATAAATTCTCCTTTTTATTGTATTCAACCCTAAACAAGTGATTTATGAGATGTAGGATTGGATTGAGTTAAATCAATAGGGAAGGAAAATGTTTTATAGGGGATGGGGGGGGGGTTGAGATATACACGTACACGAACCATGTTCTTCCCATCATGTATTCTCCTTTATACACTTTTTACCTCTTTCCTCCTTTTCATGTATTTAACTTAGTCCTTCTTTTTCCTCATCCTCAGTTTTAATCTTTCTTTAATTCAAATCTTTTTGTTTTATCTTTTCTTTTTGTTTGATTTCTTTTTTCATCTTTCTTTTCCAAAATCTTGCCTTATCTTTTTCCTCTTTTTAGTTTTTTCTCCATTCTTCTCCTTTTTGTCCCTCTTTCATCAAACATTTTTCTCTTTACCTTTTACGTTATTTTTTCTCCCCTTGTTTTCTTTTTCTATTTCCTTTCCCTTCAATTCTATCTCTTGTTCTACTTTTCCCTCGCATTACATTATATCTCTTCTTTTGTTCTTCTCTTCTTGTGTCATTTTTCCTTCTTTCTTCTTCTTCTCATCCTAATTTTCTAGTTCTAATTTATTTATTTATTATCAATATACATTTTTCAAAATAATTATTACCAAAATTTATTGTTATCAGTATACATTTTTTATATTTACTTTGAACGTTTTTATTGGTGCGACAGAATATTTGTGTTTATATGTTTAAAATGTGTAGATATCTACTTTTTTACTTTATTTTGCATGATTTGAATTTGTGACTTTAATGTTCTCTTAAACCTGTTCTTGGATTAGAATAAAAGCTTGGTTACTCAAACCCGGAATACCTGAATTCTCTAAAAATGCATTTATTCTGGTTAGTTTCCTTTTACGGGGAACAGTGAGTAAAATGAGATTAATAAAAACGAATCTGTTCCAAACAAGAATGACAGAAAAAAAAACACATTTTATATTTCCTAGAAAGTTTTGTAACATATAAGTTTTTATCTTAGGTTCAATACAGAAATCAGAAAATAAAATAAAAAGTAGTTATGCCACACTATTATTAATAATTTCGAAATCTTTTTTGAATGAAAGGTTTCGTACTTTAATAAAACTTTTGTTTCTTTTTTTTTCTCCACTGCATTTTAGACAATTCTGAAAGTTGTTTATCAAATTTTTAGACAGCCTAGACTTTAACGTGTCGCAACGCCTTGGCCTTAGGTTTTACCTCAGCAACTAACTTATATATTGCATGTTTCTAGCTTATGTTTAAAAGAAGTAATTGGCAAAATACTGCTTTATTTTTGCGTGAAGGCGTGCAGCGCATCTTTGTTCACAGTGTCCTGTAAATTCTACGATTTTCCGATAACATTCCAATACTAAACAAAAATATTAATATGATAATATTTTCGATTTGTGTGCAATTTTGGATTGTTTGTCGGTGGTTTGCTGTGTGTGTCTGTTAACATGCTGGCTGGACAAAGGGTTTATTCTACTTCTTCTGAATAAACAAACAAGCGAACAAACATGCATACATGAACAAACAATCCAGTGTTTACTCGGGACCTGGAGTTTACATATAATTCAATCTTAATATTTTCAGTACACAGAGGTATACTGGATACAGGATACTTAGATGCTTTCAGTACACAGAGGTATACTGGATACAGGATACTTAGATGCTTTCAGTACACAGTGGTATACTGGATACAGGATACTTAGATGCTTTCAGTACACAGTGGTAAACTGGATGCAGGATATTTAGATACTTTCAGTACACAGTGGTATACTGGATACAGAATACTTAGATGCTTTCAGTACACAGTGGTAAACTGGATGCAGGATATTTAGATACTTTCAGTACACAGTGGTATACTGGATACAGTATACTTAGATACTTTCAGTACACAGTGGTATACTGGATACAGTATACTTAGATGCTTTCAGTACACAGTGGTATACTGGATACAGGATACTTAGATGCTTTCAGTACACAGTGGTATACTGTATATAGGATACTTAGATACTTTCAGAACACAGTGGTATAATGGATACAGGATACTTGGATGCTTTCAGTACAGAGTGGTATACTGTATACATGATACTTAGATACTTTCAGTACACAGTGGTATACTGGATACAGTATACTTAGATGCTTTCAGTACACAGTGGTATACTGGATACAGGATACTTAGATGCTTTCAGTACACAGTGGTATACTGGATACAGGATACTTAGATGCTTTCAGTACACAGTGGTAAACTGGATGCAGGATACTTAGATGCTTTCAGTACACAGTGGTATACTGGATACAGGATACTTAGATGCTTTCAGTACACAGTGGTATACTGTATATAGGATACTTAGATACTTTCAGAACACAGTGGTATAATGGATACAGGATACTTGGATGCTTTCAGTACACAGTGGTATACTGTATACAGGATACTTAGATACTTTCAGTACACAGTGGTATAATGGATACAAGATACTTAGATGCTTTCAGTACATAGTGGTATACTGGATACAGGATACTTAGATACTTTCAGTACACACTACACAGTGGTTATAATCGATACAGGACACATAGATACTTTCAGTACACACTACACAGTGGTCATAATGGATACAGGATACTCAGATAATTTAATATCTTATTATATAACAAGATGACTTTCTCCAAAATTCAACTTTCCCATTTAAAAAATAACTATTTTCTGATTTGCTAAATCATTACCGAATTCAACCTTTCCCCTATTAAAAAAACACATTTCACATCTCCGAACCAACCCTATCTTAGAAGGTAAGGTATGAATAGCACTTTACTCTACTCTCCTAACCACACCTCCAAACCAAAACTTATTCACTACGAACCAAAATTTATCTTCTCCGAACCAAGCCTTATCCCCTCTTAACCAAATCTTATCTTCTCCAAACCAAACCTGCTCTTCTCCGAACCAGCCCTCATCTTCTCTGAACCAAACTTTATCCCCACTTAACTAAATCTTATCTTCTCCAAACCAAACCTGCTCTTCTCCGAACCAGCCCTCATCTTCTCTGAACCAAACTTTATCCCCTCTTAACCAAATCTTATCTTCTTCTTCGATCTCTTGTTTTACTCCGAACCTTCTCTGGCTGACTTAACTTTATCTAAAAGATTGCGGATAGCTCTAGTTTAAACCTTGTATTCTCATGTTTTATGAATCTACCTGTTTGCATTTGATGTACAAATATTAATAGCGGAACTGAATGCAAATGTTTAGGTATAGGTTTGAAGGTAAACTGCAGTTACCGCTAATTGGTCGATATATCATGATTCTTTCTAATATACACACCTTCTACATACACTCTAGGAGACGGGGCTCGGTTAGGTTTATCAGGAGATTCTGAAGTTTGAATCTAGGTTAACCTTATGTATATGGTACAGCTATAGACCTGGTCAGAATATTTATCTTTTTCTTTACAAACATAATTTAAACTTTCAACTTTAAATTCTTTTTTCTCAGTACAGACAAAGTTTAATAATTATCTAAAATTAAGTTGTTTTGATTTATAACTCTGTAGAAGACCCTCTGAGTTAGTAAGATAAGAATGAATGATTACTCTCAATAAGAAAACTGAAACCCGACCATATAAACGCACTGTTAAAAGGCTTCTTTCTACAATTGTGATTGATATCTAAAAAGCTCTCGGCTTCAAAGCTTTCAAGGAAAATGTGCTGAGGTTCAGACAGCGCTAAGTTTAGACACAAAAAGAAGCTTAAGATTTATTTAGTTCTTGGTTCTTTAATATAAAAAGGACGAATAAATCTGTCCTTATCTTTAATCAACTTCTTCTTTTAGGAGCATATCCCTTTAATCAACTTCTTCTTTTAGGAGCATATCCCTTTAATCAATTTCTTCTTTTAGGAGCATAAAGGATATTACGTTTTAGCTGCTAATCTTTCAGACTTTTTTTAGAAGCGGACGATCATCTTCTTTTAGAAGCTGATCGCTTCATTCTTTGACGAGTTTCCTCTTACTTTAGGAGCTTATTACTTTTACCTTTTAGGAGCTTCCTTTTCCTTTAGAAGCTGATTCCTTTTGTCTTTGAGGAGCCTTTTCTTCTTTAGGAGCTGATTCCATTTTTGATTTGAGGTACTTTGTCGACATTTAGAAGCTAACTCTTTTTTCAAAGGGCTTTTTCTTCTTATATCTTCCAGGGACTTCTTCGGAACGAACAATCATCTTTTTTCTTTTAGAAGAGCTGATTCTTTTCTCCTTTTAGGAGCAGCTGAACCCCCTTCTCCTTTTAGGAGCAGCTGATGCCCTTCTCCTTTAAGGGGCTGATCCTCTTCTCCTTTTAGAAGCTGATCCCCATCTCGTTTCAGGGACTTATGAGCATCTTTTTTTTTGAGCTTATCTACTCTTTCGTTTATATGCAGATCCGCCTCTTCTGTTGTACAGCTCAGGTTTTTCTAACAAAATAATGTCATGATAAGCAGCTTGTTTCTATGAATTGGATTGTCTACATGTTTCGATCAATATCTGCGGATTTCCTTTTCAGTTAGCAGGACCCCCCCCCCCCGACCCCCTCTCCTGTTTTTTGTATCCGATTCATTTCCTCCACTCTGCAAAACCAATATCTTTTCCATGTGAAATTTATTTCTAATACAAATTGTCATGCAAATTCGTGTCTAACGTCTGAAAACATTATCCACATTTAGTCCCGAAAAATCAAGAGTTAAAATTTTTGATTTTCGAAAAAAAATGGTTTTATTAAATATAATTAGTTAAATTCTGAAACAGTATATACTATATATATTCACATGGTTAGCAAAATATTGATATAACACATTTCAGCCATTTTTACATCAGAATAAAAATATGCATTTTTACGTAGAATTCTATATTGGTTTTATCATGGTTGTTAAAATAATGAAAAAATCATTTATCAAATCTATATTTGGTTCAAAAGAACACAACATAACTAATTAAAATTATTGTTTTATATGGATGGCATTTTAAATTAGAATATAAAATGCAAAAGGTTGATTAAAAAATGTCTGATTTAAAAAAAATTATTGCAAAGAATTATTTTGCACACTCTATTTTAAAATATGTTTTATACATTTTTCTAATTAAATTCGCTGAAAAAGTAGGATAAAATTCAATCCTTAATTAATTAAAGAAAAATAGCAAATGATATTTTACTTTAATTCAAATAACTATAACCTTGAAGTTTAGCTATTTAAAGATGGAAAACTTATCGAAATACATAAATAACTGGTTTTTGTTTGTTAAAGTTTACTTTCTAAAAGAAGTTCTGTGGTCGATGTGAGAAAACGATTTTGAAAAGACTGAACTTTCTTTCTTCTGTCAAAACATCTAATTTAACTTTTCAAAGGCAAACCACAGCTAGGTCTAAATTCAAACAAGGAAGATAAAATGCAAGTCACACTTGGAAATAATATTTTAAATATATCTCAGTGAACTAGACTGAATTGTAGTAGTTCACTGCAGTACCACTTTGTGACCTCGTAGCTTCTTTAGTTTGGATTTCATGCTCAAATAAGAGAAAAGAAAATTCTCCGGTTACAAATTAGAAATTCAAATCATTTTGTTATTATCAATAACTTCTTAGTACGAGGAGTTATGATGGAAAACATACATAAGAAGTCAATTTTAAAGGCAGTGTTCGCAAAAACTGAAAGGGAATATAGGCTTACGGCGAAAAATAATCGCTTTTATCGCTACTAATCTTACTTCTATATGAATTGCGTCTACAAGGAGAAAATTGTTAAAAACGACTTATACTGAAAAACGTAGCGTCCATACAAATTCAGAAAGTTACAACTCGTATCGTAAAATGATCAATTTGATTTCAAACAAATCCTCCAAAGATTACAAAGTCATCGATTATTTTTCGACGCATTCGTATATAGTTAATAGTTCATAATATTTGTTATTTATTTTATATACAGTGCACTATATGCTATACGTCCTTCAGTATAAAGTCGTTTTAAACAATTTTCTCCTCATAGACGCAACAGATAGAAGTAAGATTAGTACCGATCAAAAGCTATTATTTTTCGTCGGAAACCTGTACCCCCTTTCATTTTTCACGAACACTCCCTTCAAAGTTTAGTTTACTTTAGTTTGACGTGATATAGATTTAGATAATAGTTTAATTCAAAAGATTAAAAAAGTACATTTACACGAGCAAGACGAAATCCAGTTAATGGAAATTTTATTATTGGGTTTTCTCCTGGCTGGTTTCCCTCCAGCACAAACAGTTTTATCTTGACTTTATATTTTTTTAATCAAATATATCTAGGAACCAAGGAGAAGAGAGAGAGAAGCAAGGTTCAGATTACAACAAATCCACTTAGTTCAAGGATATAATTTATTATAGATTATATTTATAAAGTGAGAAATATAAAACTGGGGAATAGGAAGACGACATTTATTGGGAATGTAAGCATAAGTGACCCTCCATTCAAAGATAGTTATGCCTGATTTACAACGGTACCTTTAAAATCTTTGTCTGATCAAGAAAACAATTAGATATCAATGTTTGTAATTTTTTAAACTGATTATTTTTTTGCGGTTTATCTGCGAAAGTGACTTAAGCATTTCTTGATTAAAAGCAAGGAAGAAATTATCAGAGAAAAACACTTTTCGAGTCCCTGTCCTAGTCGTATTCTATACTATGTTTATTATATAAGTCCCCTATTACTGTCTACAGCAGTTTTATTCTCATTTATTCACTAGTCCTTTTTGTTCAAGGTCCTTTAATTGTAAGTCTGTGTGGTCCTAAGCAGTCAGAAGTTCCTGGAAGTTACTTTGTGACTATCTTTCGTCTATCCATAGTCCATTATATGTGTTTTTGCAGTCCCTCAAGCTTGTCATATTCAGCAGTATACTGGTCAGTGGTGACGTGATACAGACAGAGACATGTGACCACTATACTGCACTACCATTGGTGGAAGTTCTGGTGACGTAAAACGGACTTATAAATAATATTATCAATTATATCTATTAAAACTAGAAATAAAAATTATAAAATAATAATTGGAGAAAACCTATATTACAATTAGGTTTCTCTTGGATATCTTCGTTTCAGATTGGTTGTATATTTGCTGAGTATGATCTGTTTAAACCTAATATTTCTACAAAATGGCATATATATGAATTTCCGTATAAATTTGACACAATTTTATATCAATTTCTCGAGACAGGAACATTAGATATAACTTTCATGGGTCGCGATCAAGAGCTAAAGTGATTAGCTTTTAGCCTATTTTTAATTTGCACTTAAATTTAATTTTTTCCCCAAATGTTTTATAAATACAGCCCTATCTAAAAGAATACTTTTTTTAAAGATGATAAGTTTTGCGCCCAACAAAAAAAACCCCTTAGATTAAAAAAGCCTCTTCATATATTTAGAAAATGCTATTAAATAAAAAGAAAATGACCCCAAATAAAGATTTAAGATTTCCCATACAGAAAGGTGCCCAAATTGAAAAAAGCCCCCCAAAAATAAAATTTGCCCTCAAAATAAAGATTTAAGATTTCCTCAACTGAAAAATTCCCCTAAAAAACAAATTTGCCCCTGAAATATAAATTTAAGATTTTTCCCACACAAAGGAATTGAGTCTTTGCCACAAACTCTGAATTTATAATCCCTTTCTCTTTGGAACCCAATGTCGTAAATCTTTGATATTTCAAACTTATATTATTTGATCTAGCAGAATTCATGGTTTGAAATATCTAAGGTCTACGACATTGGAATCCAAAGATATAGGGTTTAGAAAAGCAGAGTTTGTGACAAAGGCTCAATTCCTTTGCCCCAATCTGAAAAGAATGCCCCTAGTCAAATAAAAGATTTGCCCTGTAAATCTTCTAAATTGGTAAGGTTAAGGTAGTTTTTCCAAAGTTGAGTATAATACCCATTTTTTCAGCACTCCCGCCCCATGCCACTGCCTGTGTATACGCCCCTCTTTGATTGGGAAAATTTTATTTATAATATGAAGAAAGAGGAAAAGGATACTCAGGACACCAACTACGGCGCCCGTGCATTGTTCAATGTTCATGAAAGGCGGGAGAAGAAAAATTGCAAGAAAATCTTGTATCCGCCCACTGATATCTAAAAGAGGGGTAGGAGCCTAGGAGGGCCAGATAAAAAATTATCAATTTTATTTCTAGTTGTACTGGACCGCCTTGTCCAACAAGTAGCATTTGGACTGTATCGCCCTTTCTCGCTACTGCAGCTTCTGTCTGAAACGTACCGGCACGGTCTCTCTGCAGCTTTCTGGTAGTGGCACGCTCTCAACACCGTCACAAACTTCAGTCCGGCTCCGACCACGGAACAGTTAATAGAAATGAATTTGTTAAATATGTGAGGAAATGGTCCAGCCATGTTTCAGCCCTTTCTTAGATTCGTCTTTTTTTCCACGCTGCTAGCAGTATCCGTATCAACAGGTCAGGATTAATATATATAGTGATTTTTGAAGTTTTTATGATATGTTAAATACATATATTTTAAAAACAAAAACTATTAAACAATATTTTTACACTTTTCTGTTAAATAACTAAACAGTTTTAATGTTATTCTACAGTGAATCCCAGATATATGAATACACATAGCAAGAGTTTTTTTTATAATGTATCACATAGTTAAGATCAAATTCCGCGTAAAAATTAGTTTGATATTAATATACTATTAATTGCATTCATTTTTCAGGGCTATAAATTTACCTTAAATTAAAATAATTATAAATTTCTTCAGAATTATCAAAAAACTTATGACGGTCTTTGTATTCACATATCTGGAATTCACTGTAAGTAATTTGAAAAATTAGCTCAAGCTTATACGCTTAAATTGTAAGAATATATTTTCAATGATTCATAATCATTAATCATGCATCTTATTTACAATCCATGGCTAGTCAAATTAAAGCTCTGTTCTGTTTTCTTCTTTAATAATTAATTATCTTTTTCAGCAATTACTTCTCCCCCCGAGTTAAACCAACTGCATTTGTAGTTGGTTTAAAGCAGATGCACAATGCACACAGTACATAAATTGTACATGTATCTTTCCTTATCTTTCCTATCGTTCAAAATTTATTTAAGTTTTTAAGCTTGTTTTTGTCACCCTAAATGATTTCTTATATTCCCATGTTTTTTTTTACAAATATTTATCCATAAGTATTTGATACTTTTATTCTAATTAACTATACTAAACAATAAAACACTGGTATGAGAAAACAAGTGGCAGGGCTTCCATTATTCATTGTGTTTGCAACTTGCGCTTTCCGTGAATGAAAACGAGAAAAAGCGGGGAAAGTTGTGCGCGGCATTTGCGCGTGAGTAAGATGATACTGAAGATGGCTTGAATGAGGTACGTTTGAGCTGTAGGGTATATTTCTATTGATATATCAGGCCAAGGGTGAAAGATCAGGGAAATTAGAGAAGTGTAGACTGAGAAGGATTCATAAACAGTAAATAAATGCATATTTGAACCATGCAGGGATGGGGGGGGAAGGTCCGGTGGATGTGGGGGGAAGCCCGATGGATAATTATAAATGTAAAATTATAAACGAGACTGTTTAAGTATTAAGGGGAGGGGAGAGGGGGGATAATTAGCAATTTAACATTTTGCATGTAATACTAATTTCCAAATTGTGTGAGCCAAGCAACCTTGTGTGAGCCAAGCAACCAACCCTTCTTGACAAGCATAACGCGCCACCCCCCCCCCGGCCTTCTCCTCAAACAGTTTCCTAATTGTATCCCCTATTTTTATGTTTTCCCTTTTTTATAAAATTTTATTAAGGGGGGTGGGGGAATTATGTAATATTTGTTTGTTGAAATAATAAAGAAAATTGAAAGAATAATGCGAGCTAATATGTCTAATATTTCTTGTTTTAAAATTATAAGATTATTCAGAAACTTGTGAACAGGGTTTAGATTAAACGATAGCTATAGGATTAGAGTATACAGTTTATTGCAAATATGGCTTCTTTTATTTATGTCTTTTTATTAAAAATAAATTCTATTTGGACTCTTTATTTTTCCTCGAGGATAATATCAAAAGACTAGGTTTCCTTCACCTTCTCCTCTATTCTTAAATAACAATAACGAAAAAATTTCACAGAATTATTGTTTTTTTTTTTGTCGTGGATTTCAAAAATTGGAATTTTTTCAAATTTATACCATCCATAAACCTTTGCTGGGGTCATGATATGTCTAAAAAATAGGGCCCGATCGGTTCAGCCGTTTTGACGTTTCCGGGATACAAACATAACAACAGACAAGCAAAGTTTATATATATATATAGATGAATTTATTTAATGTTTTCCACGTGGTATTTACACGTGATCTGATTATTTATATTCTTTAGATCAAAATACAATTAATTGTTTGTTATTTCTGCGGAATAGATGGGGGGGGGGGGTGTCAGCAGGGGAGGGGAAGAAAAGGTGGAGGGGGAAAGGGTCATTTGGGGAGGGGAAGAAAATGAGGAAGGGGGGGGTCGACCTCATTTGTTTTTCATACAATAGATGCGTTCCTAGGGAGAGGGTACGGAGAGATGAAGAAAACGAAAAAGAAATATCTGGAATTATCAATTAATTCCTAAACATGTAAAACATTAATTAATTTTATTGGACTTCCCAAGTTAAGCTTAAGATTAAAATCTTGAAACTAGAAACATGTTTAACAATTAAAATTTACCTTCTTAAACTTAAATCAAAATTGTTTTCATTTTTGTTTTATTTCCCTTGCATGCTTTCTACAATTTCATAAATATATAAAAAAATACGTACTTTGCTCTTAGTTTCAGCGCAATAAAACAAAATTTCGTGTAGTTTTAAAAGAATATCAGGGGCGTATGCATAAATTTAAAACATTTATGATTTATAGTCTGTAATGTATATTATGTAAAAACGCACATTATTTTCGATGTTTTTGTAGTATGGTGTACAATTATCCAAAGCCTTTAATTAATGTACAGGGTTCAGCGTACATGGTGTACATGTGTATGTAAGCAGGCAAGTGCAGTACAGCTGCACAAACTTTCACATGTAATTAGTATTAATTATTGTTTGATAAATTATAATTGGTTAAAGTGATTAATTGAGATATAATCACCTGGATATAATTACAATTCTGCGTTTAGACTAATCTACAGATATGCCTTCTTTCCTTGACTTAAACGTTCTTTCCTTGACTTGAACCTTCTCTTAGACTTAAACCTTCTTTCCAAACTTTCTTTAACTTGAACCTTCATTCCTAGACTTTAACCTTCTTTCCTAGACTAGAACCTTCTTTCCTAGACTTGAACCTTCTTTCCTAGACTTGAACCTTCTTTCCTAGACTTAAAACTTCTTTCCTAGACTTCAACCTTCTTTCCGTGACTTGAATCATCTTTCCTAGACTTAAACTTTCTTTCCTAGCTCTTTTTCTTGACTTGAATCTTCTGACTTGAAGCTTTCTTCCTTGACTTGAAGCTTTCTTTCTTGACTTGAAGCTTTCTTTCTTGACTTGAAGCTTTCTTCCTTAACTTGAAGCTCTTTTCCTTGACTTGAAGTTCTCTTCATTGACTTTAAGTTCTCTTCCTTGACTTAAAGCTTTCTTCCTTGACTTGAAGCTCTCTTCCTTGACTTGAATATATGTAATGAATGTCCAGACTAAGACACAATGCCAAGAATTTTTTCTCATCATTTTCTTTTACTGGTTTTAGCCATCAATCCATCAATCCATCAATAAAATCAATCCATCCACCGATCCATCCTTTTATCATTCTATTCTTTTATCATTCCATTCTTTTATCATTCCATTCTTTTATCATTCCATTCTTTTATCATTCCATTCTTTTATCATTCCATTCTTTTATAATTTCTTTTTTTATCATTCCATTCTTTTATTAATCCATTCTTTTATCTTTCCATTCTTCCTTTAATCCATTAATCCATCAATCAATCAATTCAACCGGAAACGTGTGTTTGATTAAAATATAACCGCAATTTCCGTTTCTCTGTTCAGTGTTAAATTTGGTCTGAAACCATTGGTTTAGTTTCTTTATGCTAGTTTATCACAATACCTCAAAACTTAGTTTTTAAAATGTTGTTCTTCAAAAGAGTTCTCTACCCCCTGAACAGTTCTCTACCCCCTGAACAGTTCTATACCCACTGAACAGTTCTCTACCCCCTGAACAGTTCTCTACCCANTCCACACACTGAACAAATCTCCACCCCCTGAACAGTTTTCTACCCACTGAACAGTTCTCTACACCCTGAATAGTTCTCTACACCCTGAACAGTTCTCCACCCCCTGAACAGTTTTCTACCTCATGAAAAACATTTCCCATTTCCTTTTCCGCAAGTCTTTTTTATTGCCTTCTCCTTCTGGCAGTGAAAGCCCCTACCCTTGTCCTGGTTGAAGTGAGTTACTCACTTCCCCACCGGCACCTTCCCCCTTTCCTGGTTCAAGTAAATCTCCCCTCCCCCCTGTCCTGGTTCAAGTAAATCTCCCCTCCTTCCTGTCCTGGTTGTAGTGAGCTATCCCCCCCTCACCTTCCTCCTGTAGGTTTTGGAAACAAATCATTTCCAACCTGTATTTCTGGGGAAACTGGTGCTAGAGGGGTCATTAACTAAATTCATTTATTTTTAGTTAATCACCGTAGAAACACAAAAACTACCGTTCTACACCATTTTATACACGATTCAGAGTTTTTTATTCTTTTGCTCTTTGTTTGGTTTTATTTTAAAAAATACAGTCTTTAAGTGTACGGAATACTTTGTACAGAAAACAGTTAAAGATTGAAGAGTACATTGTACAGTGTACTGCAGTGTACACTGTATAGTGTACATGATCAAGTGTACACAATTAATCTATATAACTCATGTTTACAGAAAACTCGGAAATAAATCGTTCAAAAATCATATGTACAATGTAAATGAATCATTAAAAAAAATGTATTTTTTTTATTAAGAGATTTGAAATGATTGTGCACTTTATATATTGTGTACAAAATGAAAACAGGAAATCAGGAAATATCGATTCAAAAAACTAATTTCTTTCAAAATTCTTCAAAGGAATTTAGCCTCGCTTTGAAGATGAAATTTAAATTTTATTTTTGAATATTCCGATATTATTAAAATAAACGTTTACTTAGAATTCTTGTGCCTATGCTGTGTGTAATAATTGTTGTTGTGTCGTTAAAATGTTGATTTGTCTCTGTAAATGTTTTTGTGTCCATGTGGACATTGTTGTGTCTGTTTGAATGTTTTCGTGTCTGTGTAAATATTGTCGTGTTCGTGTGGACATTGTTGTGTCTGCTTGAATGTTGTCGTGTCTGTGTGAATATTGTCGTGTCTGTGTGAATATTGTCGTGTCTGTGTAAATATTGTCGTGTCTGTG